CATGTAACTGTTCATTCAAACTAATGGTTTTTCACTCTAAACTAGATAAAATTATTGATTTGATTATGTAAATCATTCCTTTTGATTTTGAGACATCAAGTTTGATTTAACCTGAACTAAATACATGTAGAAAGGACCCAAAACAAAGTTTTTGATTTCTCTCAATATGTGTGTATATATATATATATATATATATATATAATTTTCTGTTTGAGTCAAATGGGAACTGCGCATTGCATGCAGTCAGAGCATGTGATCAAGTCCAAGTCCCAGAACGTGGCTCAGTGGCACACTGGCTAGCACCTCTGCCTTGCAGCAAGCAGGTTGCGGGTTAGAACCCCGGCCCAGGATCTTTCTGCATGGAGTTTAGATGTTCTCCCTGAGCATTCTCTCCAGGTACTCTTGCTTCCTCCCAAAAACATGATTGTTAGGTTAATTGGCATGTCTAAATTTAATATGTGAAAAATCTAAATTGGTTATATTTAAATTACCTGGTTTCTATACAAACATTAATTCTTGTTAATTTATTTGAAAGTAAGTATATTAGGGTGGTCCAGTGTTAATATATTAGTTTGGTTCATCAACTGAAATGTTCAGAAAATCATTTGGGACAGGGCAAAGATTTTAAGTTTTTTCAAGTGCAGTATTATTGTTTACATCAACATAATATTATCAGGTCATAACAAGCAATTAAATTCAGATTCTGTGTAGTCAAATATTTTAGATGTGATATCTGGACATCATTATTTTTAGTTTGAGCAAGGTTATACTTTTTCCAGTGTAGCACATGTATGGATGGACATCTATTATGGTGAAATAACAGTGAAATTCTTGTATTCAGTCAAAAACTGCTCTCACTGCTCTTAAAGCTTCTCATGGAATAAGAGAATTGGTTATTTCCTATGTCACAGCTTTCCCCTCATTCTTATGTCTAATTCCTTGTTCTTTTCATGTTTTTGCTAATGAGTTGAGCTTTCCTGTTGTGTGCAGTGGTAGTCCTTTTTAGGGATTCAAAATGCAGTTCTTATGTACTTGTGGTGATACACCTGACATTTGGAGACTTTGTTTTACAATGTAGGTTTGTTTTCCGTTCTTTTGAAATACAAGCATACAATATGACTCATTTGTGAATGATTTTCCTCTGCTGAAAGCTAAAACTTTGTTATGAAAATGCTTGTTTCGGGCTTTATCCTAATGAAGTTAGTCATTGTTTTCATCTGTGAATCCTTTAGCTGAATTAAAGTTTTGGTTTGATTCTGCTTGTGTTTATTTTTTTCAGCAGAAGTTTTAAAAAGTGAATGCTGTTGTAAGCTATTCTTCCTCTCACTTCAAACAATGGGGGGAATTAGAATAAACTTTTCCAAGTTTCCTTTTTTTGAACTTGGAACGTTTTCCAGGAGAAAAAAAACTTCTGCTGGCAGATCTCATGATCAAGCAAAGGTTCAGATTAATTTTGTTGCTTCTGTGTGACATGCAACATTTCACTCAGGTTTTACCGACTGCATTTGTTTTAGTGGCAAGTTTGGCAAGATTAGGAAAGTTAAATTATGTCCAAAGAGACGGTTGAGCTAATATCCAACTATTTCATCTGATAAAGATGAAATAGTTGTTTTCATCATTTTTTCATAGTTATTTATATATATATATGTATATATGTTTATTTGAGGTGGACAGTAACAGCCCCACCATGACCCTGAAGGACAAGTAATAGATGCAATTTAATTTAGACATAAATATGACATTTATATATAGTTATAGAATTTAGAAATATATATGACACATGTTAATAGATACTTAGCTGTGACTTTAAGTTTATGTTTAGCATTTCCAAAAGTGAAGTAAGTGAAAAACGTTTTCACAAAATGTTTACATTTGGCATCAACATAAAGGATGCATTTCATCAACAGAACTGTTCTGACAAAGAACAGAGGACCAGATGCTTTCCAGTGTAGAGAATTTATTGCTAAAACAGATGGCAAACTAAAAGAAAAAAAATTGCACATCTTCATTGATTTCTTCCAGTTTTTTTTTTTTATCAAAGGCCTTGTGTTTTTTGGTTTTTTTTTTTTGTTTCTGGAATGCGGAGCAAAACTGGTTGGTCTACGGTTTTGCAGCAGCTGGTCTTTACTGTGGGTAAGATGTAGTCCTTCATTTTTTCCCATGGATCATGCTTTTCACACTTGCTGGGAAAAGCCTTGTTAGGATTCTGAAACATCAAGGGCTTAGTTCAGTTCACAAGTTTCATTTTCACAAAACAGCATCAACTTAGTTAATACCAGAAATGCACTGACCCATATTTTTCTGATCTAACACCGATGCCAATGCTTGGGTGATCAGATCAGCAGATACCAAACAGTGTCCCGATACTACTGTTGAATGCATGAATGAATGTCAGGCAAGACATGATCAATGTAAAAATAAAAAGTAAAATATAATTTTTGCAACAAAAAGAAATAACCCTTGCATGTAAAGTGTAGAGAGGATCAGAATGCTGAATCGGCTTAATTCATTCTATATCCGACCTAGTTAATTAGCTGATATACGATCCAGGAATTTTATTGGTGCCTCTCCACTTTACACCATTGAATTGCATTGGTCTCAGTCAAGTCCGGCTTGGATGGGCCTGCTCAGCCTTTAAAACCTTTGCCATAAAGCTCTTTACCAACTTTTATCATTACATAACTATTAGCATAGGTGTTTTCCTACTACAGAACCACCATGAAATTTACTGAGTTCCTGAGTTCCTTTCGCATATAATATGGGTCACTGTCAGAAAAAGAAGCATTCTCCATGTCTAGATGCACGATTGTATCATAGTCAATAAAGTGTTTGAAACACTGAAAATGTCATAATCTGCTGTGATAGCTGGCCTTAATTACTCATGCCTTTCTCCTGCTTCCCTCTTTCGAGCTCCTAATTATCATTCATCTCATCCACCTGCCAGTTTGCCTTATATTGGGCTCAGTTCCAGCTATCACGGCCAGATCATTAGATTTTTTTCTGTTCAGTCTGTTCAGTTCTGTTTATTCTAAGGTTCATGTCCTGGATCCTGCAGCCAGTGGAAAGAGGGTTTTGTGTCTGTCTCTTCTCCTGCTCGTCTGTTCCTCCCCTGCTGAGTCTTCAGGGTTTTTGGCTCTTTACGCAGGGAGGTTCAGTTTTTATTCCAGTAAGCCTGGCTCCAAGGTGGAGACCAGTTTAAAGGTCCTGCTCAAGTTCTGGTTCCACGTCCTGTCTGGGCTAACCTCTTCCACCGAGCCTGGCCGTCTGCACCTGATCCTGTCTGCTTCTGTGCGTGTCCGCTGAAGATTGAGTTAATAAAAAACAGATACTTTGCTCCAAAAAAGCAGAAAGCAATTGATTATTTTAATTCCACCCAATTAGGATAGTTATGTTTTAGTATAAGAATAGGAGCAAAAACTAGGCCTGTTAGTTTAATAAAGAAATGAGAGAGAAAAGGCTTTAATATCACTTAGTAATAGGTAATATAGATGTGTTTAAAAACAAATTCTTTTAATATGTGTTCATATCCCAGAGTAATGAATTGTGGGACATTCGCCTGTCCTCATATGAGCCCTGAGCCCAGTTTGAACACAACAAGCATCCCTGAACAGCTCTGCACTGCGGGAGACGGGAAGCATAGGTTTTTAATTAGGATAGTTATGTTTTAGTATAAGAATAGGAGAAAAAACTAGGCCTATTAGTTTAATAAAGAAATGAGAGAGAAAAGGCTTTAATATCACTTAGTAATAGGTAATATAGATGTGTTTAAAAACAAATTCTTTTAATATGTGTTCATATCCCAGAGTAATGAATTGTGGGACATTCGCCTGTCCTCATATGAGCCCTGAGCCCAGTTTGAACACAACAAGCATCCCTGAACAGCTCTGCACTGCGGGAGACGGGAAGCCAACGGGACTTTGAACACAAAACCTTCTTTCATAATCCAGATCTTACATCAGGCAGAAGGGCAACCTGCCCACACATCTGCAAAATACTGCAGAAGGTTACTGACTGTAGTGAAAGAATAAAGGATAAAAAACACCCCTTCAAGGAGAATTTATTTTTATTTAATGTGGAAATAGAGGAAATTAATACTATGCTTAATAAAGGGTAATACAAGTGAGACATAGCAAAATACCAGAATATCATGAACACCTCTGCTTAAGATATTTAATGGTAGGAGTATAAATTGCAAAAGCTTTAGTGCAACTTCAGTTTTTCTTCTGTTCTGGAGTGAATTAACATTTACAATGTTTCTTAAAAAACAGGATTTAATATCTGGGATTTAGTTTTTTTTTTTTTTTTTAATAAGCAGTGTAGCAGAAAAAAAAAAGAAAAAAAAAAGAAATCAAGCAAAGGCCTACCTTTTCTGATATTCTATCCAACAGCACCTCTGTCTGTAATACCACCATGGGTATTTCTGGACTGTGCAGTGGAAGATCAAGCAGACAACATGGTGGTTATTTTTAATTCACAAGACACTGATAATGTCATGAGGGCATTGAAGAGATAAAATAAGGAAACATTCTTGGATATGACAATTAATTATTTCAACGGCTGTTTGTGTTTGCACGACTATAGGGGACTAAGAGCACTATTGTTATTTTGGCATCATATGCTCAGACGAAAGGGTGAAAAAAATTAAATAAAAACCTATGCTGGGACCTGCTATGATAAATATATTAGTTCAGGATTTGGCCTGATAGGCCAACAACAACAGATTCAGTTTGCTGGTGTAAATGCTTTTGTTGTATTATGCAATATCTCTTGAAAATGAATATATATATATATATATATATATATATATATATATA